AAAAACGACTGTAGTAAAGTTACAAAACTAGACATCTCAAAAAGGAACCTCCCTGGGAGGCACAGAAAGGTGGCTGACAAAAACTGAGACGCCTGGTCCTTAACTCTGTGCCTGGTCACGTGCCTGTTCACCTATATACATAATATAAATAGTGAGCTAGAGCCCAGTGTATAATAACAAAGTAAAGAGTTCTAATGAATGATGTCCATTACAGAATCGGAAACTAGAATTCATAACAACAATAGATTTATATTCGTTCTCTTGTTCAACTTCATACAGAAATCAAAGTTCATGCTTCATTATACATGGTGCATCCATTAGCATTAACTTCCTTACTAGTTCCATTGGGAACCTCCGGTACTGGGAAACTTGTAACGTGCTTGAACCACGGTATTGTTACCCCGGGCAAAGGCCATGAGACCACGGTATTATTACCCCTGGACAAGGGCCTTGTTTATAAAGGCATGGTATTGTTACCCCCAGGCAAGAGCTTTATGCTAAGGATGCCACGAATACTTTACAGAAATTTGAACAATCATTCTTTCATACAAAGCATTGCACTTCAGAAAACTGATCATTTCATAGCATCAGAAAATAATTAAAGTTAAACATAACTTTACAGAATTATTACTCACTGATGGCTCCACTTGCAGAATAGGTAAATCAAATAACTTGAGGCGCGTCACCTATACGTACATAGCAGAAACACATAATGAAACACGCAGTCGGTTGGCACTTAACTTCTTTCATTTCATTCCTAGTGTGTTTCTAGGTCTTAATCTCTTATTGAGTCTTAATCATGGCCTAGGAATGCCTAGGATGGAATGAGGGTGCAAAAATGTATTTGAAAACATTTGGTCAAATTTTCTAAAAACAGGGTCCCCGCTCGAGCGTAGCTTCCCTCGCTCAAGCGGACATGCAATGTGTGAGCGGACGCTCGAGCGTAACTTCCCACGCTTGAGCATTTTACAAATTTTGAAAAAAGTACTGGTTATGTGATTTTCACGTCCGACAAACGCTTGATGGTAGCTTGAGCATAAGGCTCATGTCCCCGCTCGAGTGTAACCCTTGTCGTTCGAGCGGTCTGCAATAACATGAAACTTTTGAGAGCATGTATTTTACGCTCGAGTGAACTTCTGGTCGCTCGAGTGGAAAAGCAAAAACAAAGGTGGTCACTCGAGCGCAGAATCTCACGCTCGAGCGGAAGTACTGAATCTGGAATTTCCATATTGCACTCTCAAGCTCCAAATTCGAATTCCACACTTCAAAACTCCTATTTTTGGGCCAAAATTCTGGAAAATATCTAAGAACTTTTTAAAACATTATGATTTGATGATCATTTCATGAAATCAAGGCCCAAAAGTATGTCAAACATGCAAAAATTCAACTTGAAATGTAAGAACATGATATGAACATGACATGCATGTGTTCACTTGAGTTCATGGCTTCTAAAACATGATCAAATGAGGTCTATTGATGAGAAATGTTATAAATTCTTCAACTCATGCTAGAATCACAACATGCATGGGGGAAATCTTTGAAAACAACTTCAAATGGCTATAATGAATTCACCTAATTCACTTCAACTCATGAATTCACCTAATTCACATGTTTTCATGCATTAATCAACTATATTACAAGGTCAAAGACTAAAACTCTTACCTAGAGTCTAAATTGCACAAGTAAGGAAGCTTCAATTCCCAAATTCTTTGCAAATCTCCAATAATTCCTAGCAATTCTTTTATTTCCTAACTTTTGATCTCAATTTTCTTCTATCTCTCACTCTCCCACGTTTTGCTTGTGTGTGTGAGCTCAAATGTGTTGAAATGAAGAAAAAGAAAGAGTGAAGGCACATAAGAAGCCTTATATAAGCTTACTTAATGATAATTAATTAAGGCTAATTAAGTGAGCATTAAATTAATCTAATTTAATCGTTCCGAATTGAATTTTAATTAAACCTACCATAATGTTCTAAAATTCTAAATAACGCATAAATCAAGTCAATTTCTGAATTGGATGCCGATAAGGCTTTCAATTCGCAAACCGAAACGAAATCATGAGCAGATCTTTCTATGTTAAACAGATACAAACACATATAAGGCAACACATGATGCAACATTTCACTTTAATTACTTATTAGGCATAACTAAGCATGGATGACCGCTAATCATGGGTCAGGGTTGTTACATGTCATTACCTTGGGCTGGCCTAGATCTACCAAATTATATGGTTTTGCTGGTAGAGAATGGTGCATTCTGAGTGGCCATTAGTCTCAAAGGAGTTTCATACCATGACTGAGGCACAGGTGCTGGCCTTTCATAGTTGTGATTACTAGTCTGACCATTGACTTGTCCATTATTTTGCATAGGATGTTTATCTCGAGCTAATTGTTGTTGAAGACTATTTACATTTTCTTCAGTTTGTCTTACAACAATTGGTTGATGAGAATTCATTCAATCCAAAAAGAATGTTGCCCATCTTTCCATTGTATACATTAGTTGTTGTCCCATAGCATCTACTAAACCTCCCCACGGATTTAGTGGTTCGGTAGAAGGGACATTCGCAGGTCCAGTCTCATAGCCCTGTCCAGTGTGTTGGACATGTGTTGTATATTCTGAAGTGTTGGTCTGTTCGACTATTTGTGGAGGATTTGATGGGATAGGTGCATTCATCACATTGTCCTTTGGGTTGGGTACTTCTACCTCTCCTTCCACACCCTCTTCCAGGCGTTCATTTTCTTCTCTTGCTCTACGTCTAGCCATTTTTAATTGTCCTACTAGGCGTGCCAAAAATATATGTTGGCTTTTTTGGCTTTTGAATGTTAATTGTATAATTTAAGCATGTCAATAAAGATCAATAAGTCCTTACAGAATTTATTATTGCCAACCAATTATTAGACGATTGTGTTGAATTTTTTTCAACTTCAATGAAGAGGACTTTTACTGGTGGCTTGTTTTAGGAGAAATTTATAAGAAATAACAAGTACAGAACAATTTAGAAACTGAATTTCATTAAATGAATAAGAACTTACAATGAAATAACCTAGTCTTGAAAAGATTTACAGCAACGATTACTTGAGAACTACTCCTAGGAAATGAAGTGCAGTACAGGAATTGAAATGCTAAAAATGTAAAGAACTGGAAATATAAAATTGGAAAGAAAATATAAAGTAAATGACTGGTTTCTGGATCTGAGTCTCAGTCCTTTCTGTTTAACCTTCTCTGCTATTTATACTCTTTAGTGATAATAGTCAAAGTGGTCTTCTAACTGTCGAAATATGCTTCCACGATCTTTGGTCATGGCTTCACTCAACTAGTTCCCACTATGCTTCTTTTGCAGTAAGGCTTTCCTTCTGAATTTGAATTTGAATTTGAATTTGAATTGTATGTAACCGTTAGGCTACGTCATCTCGCGTCTCTTGACTATTCTGATGCCACGCAGATCCGATACTACAAATATGAACTGCCGCATGTCTATCTTTGGTTGGAGACTTGCATTAATTCTCCAAATTGCCCTTTAAGTGCCACGTGTCACTCTGCAATTGGCTTTTACAAATTTTATAGCCACCACAAAGATAACATTATTTTTTTCACAATGTAAATAAAATAAAATTGCTACAATAAGTAGGCATCAAATAACTTAATGAACTAGAAGCAATGAGACAAGAAGTAACTATATACTTACTAGTAGCTATCAGTCTAGACTTGATGGCAGCAGGAGACCATGTGGGGTGAAATAATTTAGCGTAGACAGCTGCAGCAGTTGCATGCAGGCATGACATGGATGTTCCAGAAACTATATCGTACGAGACTACAAAGACTAGTCTTTTATATTCTTCATTTGATGATTGATGCAACCCGGTGACCATGCAGCAAATATGTCGATTCCAGGTGTTATAGCAGGCTACAGGAGACAATAATGTCCAGATATACCACGAAAAAGCTTAAAATTTTGTTTAGAAGGGGTACACATGTTCTCACCTTGAGCATCATTACAGTAATTGGATTAGGAGAAGGAAACAACTAATGGAGCGAATGCATCTGTAGCCAGGCTGCTCTTCAAAGGAAAATGTTTGGAACCCCTTTTTGGAGATGACCCCCACACCCCCAAAATCATCCTAACCCTCCATATATATGTAGGGTCCATTCATATATGTATGGAGTCCACATCATGAATGATCTAAATTTATAAAGGTAATGTAGTCGTCTTGTAAAGGTGGCAGTCTCAATCACCACTCCTCTTCAAAATGGTTTCAGTTGGATTGCTTTTACAATACATTAATGATTGAGGCCTCAAATTTTTTGGCTCAAATTTGCCTCGAATTTGCTTTTTTTTTTTTTTTTTTTTTTTTTTTTTTTTTTTTTGCTGGGTTGATGCTTTGCTTATTATTATTATTTTTATTTTTATTTATTTTTTTCTACAATGATTTAGCCCAGAAAAAACAAACAAATAAAAAAAAAAAAAAAAAAAATTGCATTCGAGGCAATTTCGAGGCAAACTTTCGAGGCCTCAATCACGGTTCTTTACAATATTCAATGTAGTCATTACTCCAATCAGCTTTCATCTATACGTTTATGCGCGCGCGCGCGTGAGTGTTTTTATTTATTTATTTTAAGTGCTGCAAAACTAATACCTGGTTGTGTTTAGGGTATGATGACCTGGAGAAGCCCATGAAATTGACAAACCCCCACCACACAGCAGAGAAAATTAAGTGGCTGAGCTAGTTTTTTTAATGCATTTTCCTTTGTATCAGTTTTCTCTCCGGGGCAAGTTTTTCTTCATAAAGGTTCAGCACAACAGCTACACCCCCCACCCCTCTTCCATTTTAACTTCAACATCAATCCCATTCCACATCACTCAATAAGATTTTATTATTGGCAGGAATTTCAATGATCTTTCAAAATAAGCACAACAGACAAGGTATTTTTCAATTGATTGCCAGGTGCCAATGTCAGAAAATAAATGAGCCTTGAAGATCTAAAAAAATAGTGTTGCCGAAATAACATAAAAGCCTCGTGAGAGTGGATGCTATAATTATTTGTCTCCATCATCCAAGCACTATTCACCAGTTACATACAATACTGCATTTCTTTAAAAAATAGCAGAATTAATCCACCGAAATACAACCTGAAAACAGATATATACCCATTTTGCGTTTAGGTCTTATCATACAAGTTTGCCAATCATAATAATCTCATAATAATCATGCATGCAGTTTGGCTACATCAGTTCCTTTCCTAACATTGTTCCCATTGCAAACAATAACATAAAAAGAAGACCGAAAAACCCAATTTTGCTGTGCCATAGAGAATGTTGATACAGCAATCTTCAGAACCTTTGTACCTTGGACAACAAAATTGCTCTCAACTATCCCTGATAAATAATAAATAAAGGTAAGCATCCCAAAATCTGAAAAGATAACAAATAAGGAGGACAGTTTAGACCAAATAACAGCACAATAAATGAATGCTATCATCTAACCCTCGTCTATTAGTTTGTATCGGAACAAATAAGGAGCTAAGAAAATTTTAGCACCGTAACAGATGTCAACTCAATTCGAAGGAAATTATGCCGAAGCTTTATAGAATTATTATGAAGCTATGCAACTAATTCCTTTTGCATCTTGGTGTTCCTAACCATCCACTCTTTTTGCTCATTCCTCTATTATGCTAATACGTATGCTGATATATAGTAAAAACTCTGCATGCCATGTTTGATGAAAACTTTTACATATAGAAGGCTTACCATGCTCAACATTGCCCAAGAAGGAGGAGAGGTGATCCTCTCAAGTGTGCAGATAATTAGCAGCCATCATCAGTTCCAGGGTCAGCTCAGGTTCAATATGGAACTCAGTTTCCTTCCCACTGCCAACAGAAAATACTTCTATATAAGTCAAACACAACACAGATGATATATCTATCTATTTATCTGTACATCCATACTTGGTGGTTATGTCTCATTTTTTAAGTTTTGCCCAAATACCCTATAGTAATTAGGTGGGTAGTTACGCCCTAAATTCAGGGGCATTTTTTCTTTCAAATCTCTCAACTTCTAATTTCAGATTTTAAATTCAATCATACAGTTTACAATCTTATTGCTCTGAAATCTAAACTATTATAAAGAGGACGCCAAACTTGGTGGTTATGTCTCATTTTTTTAGTTGTCACAAAATACCTTATAGCAATTTGGTGGGGTAGTTACGCCCAAAATTCTGGTTTTTTTTTTTTTTCTTTCAAATCTCTGAACTTCTGATTTCAGATTTTAAATTCAATCATACAGTTTACAATCTTATTTCATATCTGAAATAATATGATCATACGCCCCCACATCGCATCCGCCACTACTTCTATTTGAACAAAATCAAACAGCTTAAAAAGTATAAAAGAAACAAAGGAAATAATATATAAATTGAAGAATTCAGTGAGATTTAGTTGTCCACATTTTCCTATCACTAACCAAGCATGAACGAACAAGTAAAAGGTTAGGAGGAAAAATAATAAACCAAAGAAAAACGGAAGACCTGGCGTATTGGAGAGACCAGTAAAAGTATTGACAGATCTTCTCGAGAATGGTAGTGCTTATCTCCGGAAAAGTCACTTCTCCATGCTGCGCTTCAGAAAAGCCCCCTGAAACAAACCGATAAAATCGTATCGTAAAGCAAAAATCTTAATCAGAATCTGAAGTTGGTGTAAAGAAAATCCTAAAAATTCATTATAAATTTCCTCTTCTTTACAAGGAATTTTCTCAGGAACCAAGCGGAAAAACTGAAAAACCCTAATTTGAGGTGGAGAAAGAGAGAGACCGGGAGAGGTAAGCATGTTTCGGATGGTTTGAGAGACCATGGCAGCCTTCTTGTCAACGACGAATTCGAAGCCCTCGGCGCTGATCAGCTTCACCGTGTCTTCCTTCTTCATTTTCGCTACGACTCCGACGCTACAGATCGAAACTGTGTCGCTCCGTTCTCGAATCCGTTGATTTCGGCAACTGTGAGACAGAGTGTTGAAAAATGGAAAGACCTGATCGGCTTACCTTTATTAAATCATAAAAAAAAAAATCTTATTATCTAAATAATCTATTTAAAAATTTGAAAATAAAAATTAATTAATCAATTTTAAAATTAAAAAAAAAAGAAAAGAAAAGTCTTATAATTTTTATTGAATCATTTAAAAAAATCATATTATTTTTTAATTTATACATTTTAAACTAAGAATTATTAAAATAAAAATCAATTTGAACTTGATTTTTTAAGTTATTTTTTAGGATAAATTACAAATACATTTCTGAGATTTGCTTAAAATATAGGTTGCTTCCTGTGGTTTGAAAAATTATATATATCCCCTTATTATAATTTTTTGTTTAACAGAATTAACTTAAAAAATGAAATTCATAATTATTCTCCTATACAATAATAAAATTATCTAAATTACTAATTAAAATATATTTTTAATATCATTAAAAATTGTTAATTGACTTTATGATTTATTAATAAAATTGACAATTGGTTATGAAATTAGAAACCTCAGGAGTGAAATGTAATTTTCAAAATCACAGAAGCGATTTGTATTTTAATCAAATCTTTTAGAGTGTACTTGTGATTTACCTTTTTTTTAATATTTAATTTAATATTAGAACCCAAATAAGTTCATACCGGTTAAGAACCGATAAAGACACTTTGTAATAATTAAATGAAAGTCATATTGATATAAATATTGAGTCGAGAAACTTGTAAATCACTTCTAATATTTAGTCCAATACCACAAGGCTATTCTAATAGCTTTTCACGTAACAATTATAACATACGATAATTTATAATTTTGAGTAGACGAATTTTTAGGTTTTAAAAAATAAGAAAAAAATTAATATATTAACAAATGTAATTTACTACTATCATATAGTAAATTAAAATTACGAAACTTATAAAACGAAGTGTATTTATATTTTATATTAAACATAATTTTTGTAATTTATTCTTTAATTTTTATCAATTAAATTATGATATGCAATTTTTTTATTAAGAACTTAGAACACAATTAATAATATCAGAATAAAAATCTTATATTATGTGTAACTTTTGTAAAAATGAATAAAATTTAATTCATTATAAATCACTTTTACTAAATATTTTAAATAAAATTTATATTATTATTAATTTAGAAATTAATTCTTAATTATTTATTTATACCCGTGCATAGCATGGATAATATGCTAGTTTCAAAATAATAATAAAAAAATAATTTTTTGTTTTTAAAGCAAAAAGCCATTTGATAAGATAGATATAAGCCAACATGTGAAATTACCAAAATATCCTCCATTTAGAATATGTTAATAGAGGGTAAAATAGTAATTTCAGAAACATACATGGGTAAAAAGAAAATTTTGTAATTTTAACGAATGACGTGGCACCATATTATAATAATTTCTAAAAAGTTTTTAAAAAAAAGGCTTGTTTGAGAACCGATTTTTTGATTGATTGATTTATTTATTTTTTAAAACAGTGTAAAAAAAGATAATGGCCCTGTTTGGTAGAGTTGTAGGAAAGTACTTATAGCTTATGTCTTAACAGCTTATAACTTATAACTATGAACATAAGCTGATTTCTAACTTATAAATTAAGCTTCTCCTGCCCCACTCAAAGAATAAACTGATTTCTGACTTACAAAAAGTTATAAGCTGCATTGTTAAGCTAAACTAAACACATCAAAATAACTTAAATTAAGCTGAAAGCTGAAATAAGCTGAAAAAAAACTGTACCAAACAGGGCCAATGTAATCCAAAAAAAGATAAAAAGTTTTTTTAAAAAAATAAATGACTATTTTGGAAATATGGTTATAATCAACTTTTTAATAAAAAGTTACTTATAATCAATTTTTTGTGATAGAGGGAAGTGAGTTATAATCTGGGAAGCGGATTATAACTCACTTCCCAAAAGACTCCAAAGTTACTAAAATGGGCAACACTCTCTGATCGTATTTGTAAGAAAACCAAAAAATCACAAAATAAGCACACAAAAAAACTGCATATATCCATCTTTCAAAAAACACTCCCTAGTGCACTTATGTGCTTATTTATTATAAATTGTCGCATTATCCACTTCTCTATTTTTATTTTTCTGCACGATGTTTTGAAAATCAAATCAGTGAGCGAACCGAAAAAGTAACTGAGTGGATGAGTCACTGGTTCAACAGCGAGTGAACCAAAATTGAACCATGATGTCATAATTGTGTTGATGACTTAATGATTTGAGTGCTTGTTTTTTATGTACTTGGTTTCATATTCAAACCCTCTCCACAACATATTTTTGGAAGAAACTTAATTCTTTAAACTTGACCAGTTCTTATGTTAACCCGTGACCGGTTCATCGATTATTCCGATTGAACCGGCTGTTCTTTCAATTTTCAAATTCTAAGCCGGTTTTGAGTAGAGTCTAGGTTTGGAAGGTCATTTGAACCGAAAACTAGCTTCGGTCACCGGTTCAACCAGTTCAAGTTTGAAAACATTATTTTTGCACATCTTTTCGTAATAAGTAAAAAAAAGGTCACTAAATAAGCAAACCCTAAAAGTTGATAATCAGAAAGCAGAAACTAAATGTATTCGTTCCCTAACTTTTAAATAATCAATTTTTTTAAAACTTATTTAAGCTATTTTTATCTAATAAGTTATAAGCAGAAGATGCATTAAACAGTCTGACACATATCTCAAAATTAAAATAAGTTATAATTACCTTCTAAACACTATACCAAACGCAATGAGATAAGATCAGTTGTTATGAGAGTTCGTGTTTTTGGTATAACAATACTGGGAATTCTATGGTGCATGTATCCCTAGTTACCATATATTTAGGTCTCGTTTGAGAACAAGTTTTTTTAGTAATTTTTTGACTTTTTGGCTAAAATATGACATAAAAAAAACTAGTATGTTTGGAATGACTTTTTGACTTTTTACGAAAAGATGTACAAAAAGTAAAGAGAAACGGGAATCTTTGACTTTTTTGTATGGATTGTTGGCTTTTTATTTTTTTTAGTAACTTTTGACTTTTTGGCAAAAAGGGGCACTTGCCAAACAAGGCCTTAATTATCATCTATTATGAGTTTAGTTATTACTCATCATAATATTAATTATGATAATATTTTAGTTATGATACAATTGATCTTTAATTATAACTTATGTAGTATTTAGGCTAGGTTTGGGAAGATGGTTTAAAAGACAGAATAAGTTATTTTAGTCACAATAAACAAAATATCACATCCAACCCATAGATCATTAGACTATTCTCTCACCAAAAAAGTCAAAAAAGTCAAAAAGTCCTTCCCAAACCAAACTTTTTAGCCCAGGCTAAAATAACCAAAAAAGTCAAAAAAGCCAACCTACTTCCCAAACGAAGCCTTAGTTATAACTCATTTTTTGTTTTTAGTTAGGACTCTTGTATGATTGAGTTATAATGTCATAACTTGTATAAGATAGACACTATTTTGACTATGTGTCATCGTACTGTCTAAAGATACCATTTTTTTTAATAAATAAAATAAAAGGTAAATTAAACTAATGATTCCTATAATTTGGGACTCGTGTCACTTTGGTCATTCACTTTTCAATTGTGACATATTTGACCCTGAATTTTGAATATTATTCCAAATAAAGATAATTGAAGTTATCATTATTTAATTTCAAGGGCAAAATCATCAATTTAATAAAATATAAACTAATTTGACAAAAATAAATGTCAAAAAAATATTTTTAATTTTAAAAAAATTTATTTTTATCCACCAATGATAAAATTATGTAAAATTGATAAAAATTATTAAAAATTACATGATTAATTTTTAAAAATTAATTTTACATGATTATTATCCAAACACATAATAAAAATTAATTTGGTAAAAAAAATAAATAATTCTCTAAAAGATTTATCAATTTTACATAATTTTATTTTTAGTGGTAGAAATAATTTTTTAAAATTCAAAAATATATGCTTGACATTTATTTTTGTCAAATTAGTTTATATTTTATCAAATTGATGATTTTATCCTTGAAAAATCTAATGATATCTTCAATTGTCTTTATTTGGAACAAGATTCAAAATTCAGGGTCAAATATGTCACAATTGAAAAGTTAGGGATCAAAGTGATACAAGTCCCAAACTATAGGGACTATTAGTGTAATTCACCCTAAAATAAAACTACGCTCATAGTTTTATTACGAATAATGGTATACAGATAAAAAAATTTATACATAATTTTCATAAATAAATGCACTTATTTAAGAGATGTCAAACAAACTTTATTGAAATTTCACTGTAACCAATTAAAAGTCATTGAAGTTTACTGATTGAAGCTCAATTTGAAATTTCACTTTGTAAAATTGATGAAATTTAATGAAATTTGTGGAAATTTCAATGTAACCTATTAAAAGTCGTTGAAGTTTACTGACTGAAGCTCAATTTGAAATTTCACTTTGTAAATTGATGAAATTTAGTAAAATTTGGGAAAATTTCAATGTAACCAATTAAAAGTCATTGAAGGTTACTAACTGAAGCAATTTAGTAAAATTTGTGGAAATTTCAATGTAACCAATTAAAAGTCATTGAAGTTTACTGACTGAAGCCCAATTTGAAATTTCACTTTGTAAAATTGATGAAATTTAGTAAAATTTCTAGAAATTTCAATGTAACCAATTAAAAGTCATTGAGGTTTTACTGACTGAAGCTCAATGAAATTTCAATAAGTAAAACTAATGAATAAAACATAGTGAAATCGCTAAGTAAAATAATTTTAGTGAAATTTCACCGATTAATAGACCGTAAAGAGATAGAAAGAGCATAGCGACATATTACATCAAGACACCTGAATTGCAACCATAAAGAACACAAAATAATTAGGTTATTTAATTCCTCCAATTTAAAAATTTCACGCATATACAACATTCAATCCACTAGTTATTTAGGCCAAGTTTGGGAAGACTAAAAAAGTGCACTTTTTGTCTTTTTAGACTAAAAAATTAAGATTGAAAATATGGATGTTTGG